TCTTGTACTTGAGTTAAAGTAGAAGTACTCAGATCTTGTACTTGAGTAAAAGTAGAAGTACTCAGATCTTGTTCTTGAGTAAAAGTAGAAGTACTCAGATCTTGTACTTGAGTAAAAGTAGAAGTACTCAGATCTTGTACTTGAGTAAAAGTAGAAGTACTCAGATCTTGTACTTCAGTAAAAGTAGAAGTACTCAGATCTTGTACTTGAGTAAAAGTAGAAGTACTCAGATCTTGTTCTTGAGTAAAAGTAGAAGTACTCAGATCTTGTTCTTGAGTAAAAGTAGAAGTACTCAGATCTTGTACTTGAGTAAAAGTAGAAGTACTCAGATCTTGTTCTTGAGTAAAAGTAGAAGTACTCAGATCTTGTACTTGAGTAAAAGTAGAAGTACTCAGATCTTGTACTTGATTAAAAGTAGAAATACCAGAGTGTAGGAATACTCTGTTACAGTAAAAGTCCTGCATTCAAAATGTGACTCAAGTGAAAGTAGAAAAGTATTCTCATCAGAATATAGTGAAAGTAGCGACAGTGAAAGTATTCATTGTGTTGAGGTTGTAATTCTACCAAATGCAAAGGAGTGAACATTAACACTATTTCTCTTTCTCTTTCAGCACCACTAAAGACACGTCTCTGAATGGATACTACATTCCCAAAGACACTTGTGTGTTTATCAATCAGTGGCAGATCAATCACGACCCGTGAGTTCCCTTTTTCTGAATAAATGTATTAAAACAATTGAAAAAGACTGACGGTCACACGTAGGAGCTGCTCAGTACAGCAAGTTCAACATTCAAAGGCTTCGTTGTCATTTGAACAACATTTACAGAGAAATGGTTTGAAATGAAAGTCCGAGGCTCGTCCAACAGTGCAGCATACGATGTATTTAAGACATAAAGACTTAAAGTAATGTAAAAAAGAAGTAGGAAATAGCATGAGTTCTTTGATCGATTGCAGCCATGCTTGGATGTTTGTGCAGCGTATCTTATTTTTTCCTTTATCTGTATTTTCTCAGTGAGCTGTGGAAAGACCCGTCTTCCTTCGTTCCGGATCGTTTCCTGTCCTCTGACGGCAGCGAGGTGAACAAGCAGGAAGGAGAGAAAGTGATGGTGTTCGGCATGGGGAAGAGGCGCTGCATCGGAGAGGTCATCGCTAGAAACGAAGTTTACCTCTTCTTGGCGATCATCGTCCAGAAACTGCACTTCCACGCCATGTCGGGGCAAAAGCCGGACATGACCCCCGAATACGGACTCACCATGAAACACAAACGCTGCCACCTGAGGGCCACGATGAGGACGAACGAGGAGTGAAGATACTCATATCTGTGCAGTTTCCGACTCAACTGAAGTCGACTCAAACACTGTAAAGGGTCAGGAGAACAGGCGGTGAGAGAAGAGGCTTCCTCAGAATGTACTAGATGTTTGATCTACAGAGCTAATGGCATTAAAGTGAAATGTGCTTTTTGCAGATTGTCAGAGATGAACATATCATGTTTTTGGTTTTCTCAGAGATATTCCTGCACATTGTTGGTGCTTCGAAGAAGAATAAGGAGCTGCGTGGTTCTGCTGTGCATTAAATAAACTGCATTATTAAGAAGTTCTGCTTTGTTTGGGACGAGCAGGTTTTACTGAGGCATTATTATTTAGGCGATTGCAACCTAAATTCTTTCCTTCTCTCACACAGGACTCTGAACTGAAATGATAGTACCTTGTGATAGCATTTAAAAGCTAACTATTTCCCATTATAATGTGGATTTAAGACACTGAAGCTATATCTGTATCCCAAAATGTGATTATTTTTTTGTGTGTATATCAAGCTATTTGTATTTTTTTGAAGACATTTGTATATGCCTAGCGTTTGTATATTTTTGAGGTGAGAAACGTTTTCGCTCTGCATCTTTAAGAAAGCCAAAAGAGTTCTTATGGAATATATCAGTAGACCGTTATTTTTATTTGTATCTCTAATGCATCGATGATTGTATCACATGTAAGGGCATTGGATCGGAGCATCCTTTAATCAGCCACGCAAATAAAATATGTTGTAAGAATGATTTTGTTCCTATTGTTTGCTTTATTTAAAGAGAAAACTATTTTACAGTATTAAAGTGATAGTCCCCACATAAAGATGTATGCAGTTACTAATGTGTAGAAAAGTGAATTAATGTCAGAGAATAACAACGTTTTGAGCTCTTTGGTGAAGAAATAAACAGGTCAACTATAGCAGCACATAAATAAGCAAATATCTGGTACTTGAGTAAAAGTAGAACTCAGATCTTGTACTTGTGTAAAAGTAGAAGTACTCAGATCTTGTACTTGAGTAAAAGTAGAAGTACTCAGATCTTGTACTTGAGTAAAAGTAGAAGTACTCAGATCTTGTACTTGAGTAAAAGTAGAAGTACTCAGATCTTGTACTTGAGTAAAAGTAGAAGTACTCAGAGCTTGTACTTGAGTAAAAGTAAAAGTACCAGAGTGTAGGAATACTCTGTTACAGTAAAAGTCCTGCATTCAAAATGTTCCTCAAGTGAAAGTCGAAAAGTATTACAAAATATAGTGAAAGTAGCGACAGTAAAAGTAGTCATTGTGCAGATTGGTCCATTTCAGAATAATATATATGATATGTTTTATAACGATTGATCATGAAAGTGTTCTCAAAGCTGGTAAAGGTGCAGCTAGTTTGAATGACTTTGTATACTGCAGGGTAGCTGGTGGATTTACTCCAGGTGGAACTAAAGTCTGATTTAACACTTGATTATATTTCACATCATTCATCCAGAGAAGTAACTAAAGGGATTAAATACATGTAGTGGAGTAGAAGTACATCATTTACCTCTGAACTGAAGTGGAGTAGAAGTACAATGTAGCATAACATGGAAAAACACAAGTAGGCTACAAGTACCTCTAGTACTTAAGTACAGTACTTGATTAAATGTACTTAGTTACTTCCCACCTCTGGATTTATGCAGTTGAAGGTTTCAGGGGATACAATAAAAAGCATAATTTCTGAAACACTTTTTACCCTAAATAAGTGAATTGAGAGGAGAAAAACTAAGGAAGGGCTGAACAAAAAAATCGTTCTGGATTTAATAAAAAAATCACAACAAACCCACGTGGGAGATAAAGGAAGTGACGTAGCGTATCAAACTGGAAATCAACACGAACAAAAGCTGGAGCTTCTGTGGCTTTTCTTGACTCTTCGCTACAGTTTTATCGACACGGTATTTAATCCATCATCCACTGGGTATCCTCAGTTTGAACCTTTAAACAAAGTCAAGCCTTTGATGCGAATTCAAAAGACGTTGCTTTAGATTAAAAGCAAACCGGAGGAAGAGACGCGAAGCTAATGCTAACTGTGATGCTAGCAATAAACACACGTTGCTGTTTGTTTATCTTACAACATGTTGTTATTTTAATTACATTTTTACATTACAGGTCACTTCTCTGAACTCTGACCCCATATGGATGTTATTTGTGTCATTTATTTTACCGTCACGTTTTTAATAATCAATGATACTTTAGTCAGGTCCAAGACACACATGAACAACTCTTTAAAACAACGCTAGCTAAAGCTGGGCGTGGACACACATGAACATCCCATAATAAGCTGTTATCTGTTATCCCAGCTAAACAGAGGTGGAAGAAGTATTCAGAGGCTTTACTTGACTAAAAGTACGTATGAGTAAAAGTCCTGCATGTACTTAAAGTATATAAAGTAAAAGTACTCATTGTGCCTTTATGTGTGTATTTAATTATATTTATATGTGACATTCTGGATGATATTGTTGCATTTTACTGCTGTAGACAAACACAGTTCTGATTGACTTTTAGTTAAATATTTGACTCTTTTGTGACTTAAAGAGTTAGTCCACTATGTAAAAGCTGTTAAATAAATATAGTGGAGTAGAAGTATAAAGTAGCATTACATATACATTCTCAAGTAAAGTACAAGTACCTCAAAATTGTACTTAAGTACAGTAGTTGATTAAATCTACTTAACAGTGGCGTACAGTACCTTTTAAATATTTGGTGCCATTTTGCATCAGCCAATGGGAATCCTTATTTATCCTGAATAAATACAAATTGATGACATTTTTCTTTTTTTTTAAAGGTTAGAAAAATATGAATCTAGCAGATTATTTAATGAAGTTCAGTTCACTGCTCCAAAGTGGAGAAGCTAGATGATAAGAGCTGCATTTAGGCAACCCTTACACGTTTACAGACAACAAATACTTTAATGTTTTAGGCCTAAATCCTCTTAATGCTTTCATTTAGAGCTGCCATGGTTACTTGTCAAATTGATAAGTCTCTCACACATCACCAACTATTTCACTTAGCATTTAGGATCACGCAGCCGTGCTCGAAGCAACAGAAAGTAACGGACGCATCATTTCTCTTCATGTTTTACCCGCAGCGAGCAGCATGGCCACGGACTGGTTGGAGAGCGTCGTGTCGATAAACTGCGGCCTGACGTTAGGAGTTTATCAGGGATCCGTTTCCTCCGTGGATCACAGAAACCAGACCATCTCTCTGAAGCTTCCCTTTCACAACGGGGTCAGGTGTTCCCTCCCAGAGGTCACCTTCAGGTGAGAGAGACCGGGGACACACTCTCCCTAATTACACTTCAACAGGAAATGCATAGATCTAATAAATACACCAGAGATAATGGTGAAGGCTTTACGACAGATGTTTGCATTTCATCCTCTCTCCACCGCTTTACCCTAATGCTATTTCCAGAAGTAATTGTTAGTTGCTGCCCTTTATGTAAATTAAACTGGTATCCCCTTAAATGTACCTTCTCCATCCATTGATGTTTTACCCCTCGGGTTGTCAACTGAAAACCAAAGTATCTAGAGTCCTGTTGATTTCTTTGTGCAGTTTGAGCTCTCGGTGAGTCCAGGTTTAAAAAAAAAAAAAAAAAAAAAGTTTACTATTTTTATTGAGTTTTTCCATTTTGTTAGAAGTTCCAACATGACATCCACACTTACAGATATCAACAATGAGTGAACGAGACGTGTACAAATGAGTGGGCGGTCCATGCATAATATACAACATGTTACTTACTAAAACGTAACCAACCAAGTAGCAAAAAACGAAATAAAATAACTGACAAGAAAATAAATAATAATAATAAAAAAAAAAAATCTATTAGAATAATCAAATGCATTTATAATAGGTTTATTTATTTAGTATAGCACCTTCACAGAAATACATTTCCCAAAGAGCTCCACAACAAAGAACTCAAGTTAAAATGGAGACCACATTTAAAGACAAACTTAAAGGCACTACAACCTTTTCCAAGCAGATGTTGACTCTCCTGCACATCGCCTTGTTTTGTACAACAACGTGTTGCTTGATGAGATTTCGTGGAAACGGCTGACTAAAAATGATCAGTTTTATTTCATGTGAGATTTTCAATAACTCATCTTTATGAGCCTTTCTTGTTTTTCCCCATCCCCTGCATCTACCTGAAAGGAAACCTGCAATATCAATAACAGCATTTTTCTATCTCTGTGTTTTTGATTCAAATTTAAGATTAACAATCAGTCGATCGTCCGAAAACACATCGTGAACTATTCTCTAAATTGAGTGAAAATCAAAGGAACCTTTCATGCTCATACGTCTTCATAAAGAATGTTTCCCTTCTATTTCATAGTCAAGTGAATATCTTCTGGTTTTGGAAAGACATGACTTTGGACTTTGAGAAACTGTCATGGATCATCGTCCCTGTCTTCAGACCTTTTTAGGCTTTCCTTTTTGTCTCTGTTAGTGCCAGGGATATAAAGGAGCTGAAGATCCTGGACTTCCAGAGAACCGTCTCTGAACCCAGTTCTGATCCGGGTTCTGCAGCAGAACCGAGCCTCGTCCCTGCAGAACGTCAGGGACAAAGAGACCCTCTTCATCCTCATCTTCATCATCAGGGGACAAACAGCACGGCTCCCATCACCATCCTACGCAGAGGTGGGTTACATCAACCTATCAGGGAAAAGAATGACATGAGAGTCTGTAATACCTAACAATTAGTGGCGTTGTTGAATTACACATCAAACATAACCATTAGGGAGGCGATGGTTTGGGAGTTAGGGGTCACTTCCAGTGTTTAAAGTCATAACTTGAGCGATACGATTGGAATTCGCTGAGATTTTTAAGCTTTTGTTGTTATTTAAAGTCTGAATTAGCACAAGTTCAACAAATCTAAAAAACAACAACTTTAAATATTCAGTTTTCAATTCAAAGCTTTATTGTCATGTGCCCATCACCATCCTACACAGAGGTGGGCAGGGGCGGACTGGACTACAAATCAGCCCGGGATCTGCGGTATCTCGGTATAACTTCGGTACCGCCGGCCCACCTTGGATCCGCAAAAATACCGCTATTAAAGTGTCAACGGGGGGGACGGGGCGCTAGTGATTTATCCGACCGTCCCACATCGTCCGACCGGCCCACTTCAGTACCGGCCCATCGGGATTCCCCCCTGGAGGTGGGTTTAATAAGATAAGATGGACCTTTGTTAATCCCCGTGGGGACATTCAGTAGTTCAACAGCAACAGGGTGACACTTTGACACGCTCAAACAATGGCTCCACTCCTTACGTTCGACCATTTATTGTAGGAACAAAAGGCAAACAAAGACAATATATCCAGATGCCGATAACCTTTAAGGATATTCAGTATAAATGTGTGGTCATTTATACTATCTCTTTCCATTCAAAGCAACACAGAGCAGGTGAGTGCAGCCAGGTTAACACAACCACTTACTCCGCGCAAAACTCCAATAATACGTACAAAATACCATAAATGTGGCTCCTACAATCGGCTCCTGATATCCGCCAAATCGGTCTTTGTTTAGCTGATGGCGGTCAACTAGGTGAATATTGGCGTTCCTTATTCTCAATAATTGGACAAACATTGGAAACATCTCGTTAACAGCCGGTCCCATTCATTTAAGCAGGCATGATAGACCTGTTTGACATCTTTGGAGTGAAGGAAGGAAGGAGTAGGAAACAAAAAAACTGGCATGTTCTTTTACAAATGTGCCCAAAAATATCAAGACGTTTTGAGGAAGGTTTTTTAATAGGTTAAGGAAGCCCAGTTTTAGATTTAGCTTATTCACCATGAAGCTTCATTTTGAATCACAGAACTATTGTTGTTTTTATTTGGACGTATTGGATGACAGGAAATCCCCACAGAAGAGGTCATACGGCTCTGATGAGGAACACAAAGTAGATATTGTTCATTGACGGAAGGAAATGTGACGCGCCAAACTCCTTTTTAAGTATTCCCAGAGAGTTGCGACAGAAGATGGACTGTAAAAACTCAACCTGGTTTTTGTCTTTATAACTAAATGTTTAATGTTTTCTAGTTTATTTTAGGAAGGAAATACAAATTCTCTGCAGATCAAATTTTGTTTTTGTTGATAATTATACCGTCAAATATCTTTTGACACGCTGCATGTGTATCAAGGACACACACTTTTCTTTATACAATAGGGTTTTAGTGCATGTAAATGGTCTGCAAAGGCTAACAATCCATGTTTTCATCGAGGGAGTTTCTCTCAAACATCAGCAGGAGAGGACTCTTTAAAGTAGAGACACTACATACTGATATACACCTGAACATCAGCAGGAGAGGACTCTTTAAAGTAGAGACACTACATACTGATATACACCTGAACATCAGCAGGAGAGGACTCTTTAAAGTAGAGACACTACATACTGATATACACCTGAACATCAGCAGGAGAGGACTCTTTAAAGTAGAGACACTACATACTGATATACACCTGAACATCAGCAGGAGAGGACTCTTTAAAGTAGAGACACTACATACTGATATACACCTGAACATCAGCAGGAGAGGACTCTTTAAAGTAGAGACACTACATACTGATATACACCTGAACATCAGCAGGAGAGGACTCTTTAAAGTAGAGACACTACATACTGATATACGCCTGAATATCAGCAGGAGAGGACTCTTTAAAGTAGAGACACTACATACTGATATACACCTGAACATCAGCAGGAGAGGACTCTTTAAAGTAGAGACACTACATACTGATATACACCTGAACATCAGCAGGAGAGGACTCTTTAAAGTAGAGACACTACATACTGATATACACCTGAACATCAGCAGGAGAGGACTCTTTAAAGTAGAGACACTACATACTGATATACACTGAACATCAGCAGGAGAGGACT